CAAGAATTCTCCGAATAAATGTTCACTCCTTTCAGAATTTTTAGAACTAATATACACTGAATACACCCCTTCCAGAATTTTCAGAACTAATATATACCCCTGCAAGAATTCTCAGAACTAATATACACCCCTGCCAGAATTCTCAGAACTAATATACACCCCTGCCAGAATTCTCAGAACTAATATACACCCCTGTAAGAATTTCTAATCAAAATCTTTTGTAAAGCAAGGGAACTATAAGAGAGCTAAAATAAATTGTTAATTAGATATTTTATCAGAAAATTCTGATTAATTCTAACATCACTGTGTAAATTTGACGATTTGGAAAGTTTAACATTTTTTTTAAATATTTAATGTTTTTAAAAATAAATGTTTTACAGCGTTTAATAGTTTCTTATTTTTACTTTACAGTTTGACTCTAACTAGAAAACATTCTATGCATATTTGATGATGATCTAGTTGTTTATAAGGTTTTACATTTGTGTAGGACTATATAAATTATAACTTTTTTAATAATTTAATCTAACAGTTGTCCTCCAATTCTAAAGTTTATTGGGTCTCACTGTACTTATTTTCAGTGTACTAAATAGACTGTTACATAATCTGTTTTACTGAACATTCGATATAAAGTATAAAACACAATGTTTGCTGAGCAAACAAAACCTAGATGATTTACAGGGATTAACAGGAATAAACCGGAACCACAAGGGAATACCAAGTATTAACAGGGATTAACAGGGATTAACATAACAGGGATTAACAGAAATAAACAGGGATTAACAGAAATAAACAGGGGTTAAAAGGAATTAACGGGGTTTAACAGGGATTAATAGGGATTGACAGGAATTTACAGGGATTAAGAGGGATTAACAGGGATTAACAGGAACTACTTATGGGGATTTTTAACTTTATTTTGAAATTCACAAGGTTATTTTTGACACCATGAACAGCCCTGTAAAGTGTCTATACTATTTCAAGTTAAATGCCTGATTTACACACAACGCTACCTTTTATCGCATAAATTGATCGATTAAAGCTCAAAACTTGAAAAAAATACACTTGAAAAAGAATTCGTTAATTACTGTAAAAAAAGGCTGAATAGAATACTTTTTCTATTTTGTGAAAACTTTCAATAATTCACTATTGCATTCATCCGTCTACTCTTTTAAATCTTTATTGGATAAAATTGGGAGTTTGAAAATATAATTAAATGGGCAACAAATTCTTTCTAAAATATTGCTAAAATGAAAGAAAGCATCTAAAAGGGACAGACTGGCTATGTAAGGTAATTAAACTGAGTTTGCAGTGTTGTGGACAAATTCTATAGGATTCATTTGAGACATATGACACTTTTCTACGATGTATAATAACTGAGTTTGAGTGCATAGTCGACGTTCAAAATCATGAATTTGGGTGGATACGTTTCCAGACTCGATTCTTTTAAATTACTAAATAACGACGACGAAAAATAGAGTAAATATTATACAGTAAACTAATTGGATGGTTAGGAACATATTTCTCAAAAAAAAGTTTGTCAATAAATCAATGCTAGAATCAATTATTCCATTTTCATCATTATATTGAATTTCTTATTTTCTATGAATTTGTGCGCAGATTTCTACAAATTCCCAAATGTCGTCTTTTTAATAATAATTCCAGAAAATCTGTGAAAAATCTTTGTGAATAATGAAAAAATAGAAACTAATAATTGAACAATATTACTAATTTTCGATGTTAAGATTAATTTTTATTTTCTCAACCTGTTCCAAAACAACTTTTTAGTTTACTGAAGAATTTTGTTTACATTTTTTGTTGTCGTTGTTTAATAAATAAAAAAAACAATTCTGAAAACGTATCCACCCAAAAGTATGATTTTGAACGTCGACTTTGCGCTCAAACTCAGGATTTACAGATCTTTAAAAAGTTTTATATGTCTCAAATGAATCCTAAAGAATTTGTCCACAACACTGAATACTCAGTTCAACTACCTTACATAGCTGGTCTGTCCCTTTAAAAATAATTTTTTTTATATTAACCCCCCTTTAACCTACTTTAGTTTTTTATAGATCTTCAAAGAGCTTCAAGAGCTTTTTAGAGATTAATAAAGCTTCATGGAGTGTTGATGTACTTTGAAGTTATTCATTATTTTACATCGATTTTTAGAGTTTTAAAGATGTTCGTGAAGCTTTCGACTGAGAGTAGATTTTAAGAAAAATTTACAGTATAAAGGGTTGTAAAAATGTGAACTCATAACATCAGTTACTTTTTCTTTAAAACCTTATGCTGAAAATACATTAGATTTAAAATAATTCATAGTTTAAAATATCAATGGTCTACAACATCAGGATCCTTAGATATAAGGAGCAGAAAATTTGATATTTTAGGCCTGTTCATTAGTAATCTTCTATGTAATAAAACAGGATATTCAAATCAAATCAAATCAAATATTAATTACAATAATTCATATTCTTATTTAACTACAAAGCATGAGATATTACAAATAAGCAATCACAATTTGGACCCGCCAACCCGTGGTTGGCCCTAAGTTAGTTAACGATACTGAATATAATTGGTTACACACACCAAAATATGTTTTTTGATAGGTAAGGAGTTGATTGGAAGATTTATAGTTTAGACAATATAAAAAAAATACAAGTCCTCAGAGGGAAAATTAATCTGGTGGACCAGCTTTCCATAATTTTCCCTATAAACAGGGGGGGAGGGGAGATCCTGGGCGAGTGGACGAGTAGGTAGGATTCTGGACGAGTGGACGAAGTAAGCAGGATCCTGGACGAGTGGACGAGTAAGTAGGATCCTGGACGAGTGGACGAGTAGGTAGGATGGCAGGAAAACTTATATTAACATGATACTATAACGAAGTATTTCTTAGCTCAATCAAACTTGTACAACAACTAACATTGTCATATTTAACAAGAAGAATGAAAAAGATTCAAATGTTAGAAGGAAGACATGTATCCCATTTTTAAAACTGCAAAAAAAAATTACATAAGAATATACATACAATTCAAGTTTTTAAATTTAGGTAAAGAAAGTGATGTACATACATGTTAGCTTAGAATTTTAATTTAGACGCTACTTATCTATTGTTTAAACATTCGTACATATGTTCCCCAAAGCCGGCCAAACGGCTGGACCGAATGGGCTACATTTTTTGTGGACACTAATGCGTAGCCTGGAGGTGACATAGGCTACAAAATATTTAATTTTTTTCAAATTTTTTCTTTTTTTCAATTTTTTGCCCACGGTCAGCTTGTTTTCCATAAAAATAAACTTTCTTTCTCTGGCGTGATATTTTTTACAGCCCGATGCTATTGCTAGGCTATGCGGATGTTAAAAAAATTATTTTTTAAAAAGCTAGCTCTAAAAACGTATCCACCCCCAAAGTAGGAGTTTTGAACGTGGAATTTGCGCTCAAACTCAGGATTTACAGATCTTTCAAAAGTTTAATACGTCTCAAATGAATCCGAAAGAAGTCTTTCACAACACTGCATACTCAGTTCAACTACCTTACATAGCCGGTCACTCCCTTTAAAGAGCCATGTTTGAAGTTTAAAAAGAGACCCTTAAATCTCCATTTCCCGGAATATTTTAAGGTTCGTGGATTTCCTTAGTTGGTAAAAGCAGGAATGTAAAATCTATATAATTTCTCATGAAATCATTTTTAATCTAATTATGTCGAGGCTGAAATCATGCAAAACTTAGGAAGTTAAACACAAGGAGAACTTTATTTTACATTTAATTATTTCAAACTTGTCTTTTAACAAAATATTGAAAATTTTAAACAGAAAAATAAAGATTAGAATTATATAAAACTTTAATCTAAACTTATTAAATCTTTATGACAAGCTGAGATTAACAAAAAGTAATAATAATAATTTTTGAGAAACTCTGATTTTGTTAATGAAAGAAAATTATATGTAAATGTAAATATTACTTTTATTTCTATCGGAAATTGCAAACTTACTTAAATGTGTAACGTCTAGAGAGCGAGTATAATCTGTAATTAAAGTGAAATGTGCGTCAAATTTGAATTCTTACAAGAGTCGAGAAGCCACGGTGTTACAAAGCTGTACCAACAATTTTCCTTATGTCTAGAATCAGAGCATGGTGCATCTTTTTAACACCATAATCCCTGTAAGTCAAACTTTAAACATTATTTGATATTTATGTTGCATACAGATCAATTTTTTATAGGGACTGTAAACATAATTTCTGCAGAAACTCCCTTTAACAAATTAAATTGATCATTAATAACAATAGAGAAATGGTAAAAGGCTAAATCGGCAATGCAAAACAAGATTATCGTTTATAACGTTGTGTATTGAACATATTAATCTTTAAAAGTATGTCAACAGTCTATTTAAATTTAATGATAACATGCATCACTGAATCGATATAAAGAACCAATTACATCAATTCACATAAACATCAATTTTAATATATTATCTGAAAATAGAATAAATTTCTTCACCGCAATTTGGTTGAAATCTAAACAATTTATTCAAAATGGCTTTAAGCACCAATACCAAGGATAGAGGAAATTAAATTCTAGAATTTAATTCTTTTAAAGCTTCTTTTTCATTCGTCATTAAAAGTAACGTTCATTGTTCCTTGTACATAATCTAAATTCTAATCTAAATATTTACTAAAAAAAGAAATGTTTAGAATTTGCAGAAATATGTTCGTCCAACCAGATAATACAATAAATATTGTTTTCATGTTTATGTTTAGTCCGTTTAATAACAGTTTTTGCAAATTCTCTGGAAATAAATAATTCCGTGTTTTTTCTTTTTATTTTATATTTTCCACAGAACTTGCAATTGATTGAATTTGCGTTCCTTTCAGTCAATTATATCTCATTATTAGATCGTTCTTCAGCTAGCATGTTACTCAACTTAACGTAGAAAATTTAGATTTTGAAAATAATTTTATTTAATTTTGAGAAAATTGTTATCCAGTATTTTTATTCTCAATTTTACGATCCCTTGTAAAAAAGGTTTCCTAATTAGTAACTTTTTATCCCGCCAAAGCATGTTTTTTTATTAATTTTCCAAACCTTTTTTAGAACATTTTTTCACAAAGTATAAAATTTAGTAATTATTATTTATTAGCTAAAATTGAAGACAATCCGAAGAAAGCTTCGCCGCAGAATTTCTTCTGGAATTTTGGTAGCTTAAGACTTCCACTTCCCGTGCATCCTTGATTTTTCGGCAAATTGACCCATCCGACATCTCAAAACAAAATCCTCCAGCTAATAACTATTTTATTAAAAAAGGCTTATTGTTTCCAGATCGCATCCGGAAAGTTTATCAGCTATATCAACTTTCTTGTCGAAAACAAATTATATGAACAAAATATTAATATTTCATTAAATATTTAATAATTTATCTTCCTTTACCTAGTGTGAGACGAGGAATACGAAGTGAAATGGAGAAATATATAAATCTGCTGATCAAACATACAGGTGAAAAAAACTGTGGACTTATAAACAAATCCTTTCTTTCATAAACAAAGTACTAGACACACAATAGACTATAACTTGGATCCACACAGTCAAGTATTTGGACAGAGCTAACTTTGAAGTGTCTCCGGGCTTTTGTTTTTTAGGTTAAACCATACATTCCCATGTCATTGATTTGTATCTAGCTATATTAAAATTTATATTAAAATTAATGTTTCACACCTCTGGAAAGCTCTTGTCTTCTACCCCAGATATAAGACTCAGGTCTTCATCCAACTTTTTGTCGAAGGAATTTTCAGTGCCACTTTAATTAAAAAGGGGCATGCATACCTATCCACAATGGTACCCTTGAAATCTGAATCTGGAAGACAACGTCGGTTTTTTTTTTGAATGGAAAGGTGCTTAATTCTGATAATTGTTTTAATTTTCCTGAAGCAAGAAATGCACACAAGTCACTTCTACAGACAAACCACAAATGAAAGTATTTAGTTTTCTCAAACAAAAACATGGATACCTAACTTATTCTCAATCAGGCAAAGCATTAAGGGTACCGTTGTGAATCATACATGACACTCTATTAATTAATGGTCACTGGAAATTACGTTCACCTCGTGAACTCAAATATCAGAACAGGAGAAAAGTATATTAATTCTTTTAACTCGAAACCTTTTATTAATAAACATTTTCAAAAGTATCATTTCCAGAGAGAGAGAGCTGAGATTTTATAATCTGGATTTCTAAAATTACTTTTGCACTCTACTGATAATAAATGATATTTAGAGGGTCGGGATGTGATGTCTTTGGTTCACTGGATTCTCTCATCTTTAGGGGAAACATCACAAAAGGAATTAATGATTTCCAAATATTTTAAGTTGTCAACTTTGCCGTTACAAATTCTGCCGGGAAAAAAATCCAAAAATATCTGAGAAATTTTCAGATTTTGATGAAAGAAAACGAAGGCTCTTGAAAAGCAACATTTAAAAGCTGCTAAAAAGTTGCTAAAACAAAATGGTGGGAAGCGTCCGAAAAGCCCTTTCTTAATTGTAAATGAACTAAGCGTCAAAATATATAAATATGTGAGTATTGGTGTGTATGCGTATTATCCGTAGCCAATCAGCACCTTTAGAAACAGGAACTCGTTTTCTGATGCCTAGAGTTTGATGACACTTTGAGAAAAAAATCAAATTTCAATTTTTCAAGCCCGGGTTACCAATTGGTTTCCTTGAAAAATTCAGCAAAGGTATTGAGTCTTTGTCACAAACTCAAATTTTCTAATCCCTGTATCTATGGAACTTGATGTTGTAGACTTTTTATATTTCAAACTAAGATAATTTGATGCAACAGAATTTATAGTTTGAAATACGACAATGGGTTGCAGAGATATAGGAATTATTGAAAATAAGAGTTTGTGCTTAAGACTCAATTCCTTTGGTCAAGCTGTTTTTTCAGCTATATAGCGAACAACTATGTACGAGCGAAGAACTTTATTATGTAGAATTTTATCTGATTTAAATGTATTAGGAATTTATTTTTTCTTTCAAACTTTCGCTCTTTCTATTTCGTATATTATTGTATTCAACAAAATTATAAGATTCTGGAGATTAAAAGTTTTTTTCTGAATTTGCAAACTACAAGAAGATGAAAATTCTTTTTAGAAGAATTATATTTCTTACTTCAAAGAATAATATTATCATGATAATCTTCAGTAAATGTATGGCATGACGTGCAAAATGTGTAAGTATTATGGATCTAAAATTCGTTTCTATTTTGACCAATTAAACGGCTGGACCGAATGGGTACTGGGTAGCTGGAGGTGTCTTAGGCTAAAAATGTCAATTTTTATTTCAGATTTTTTTTTTTTAATGTTTAAAGTTTTTTTTTCAAATTTTTTTATTCACGGGCAACGCCGGGCCCTTCGGCTAGCATTACATAAATCTGCGGAATTACATTCAAACTTACATTTACATCCGATTATAAATTTTAATAATTTTAAAATTGGTTGTTATGATATCTCTAGACATGGATGTATCTACTGCAAAAGGTTTCATTCGAGTGACACGACTTTTAACCTGACGGTCTCAATGGAACAGTGTGTATCGGTAAAAGACCATCTACTAGCTGCATTGCAAAATTTAAAACTTATTTTAATCCTAATTTAGTAAATTCATTTGGGGATTTCAATGTGGTCTATAGGGCTTCCCTTGATTTGATTTGTTCAAAAATATATAAAAGTATTAAATGGAATTGATATTTTAAAGAAATAAAAAAACGGAGCTCATAAACTGGAAATGGTTTATCAGGTTTACCTGGAGAACGTGTTGGAGATTTTAGTTGATTCCTTCTGTTTCAAAAACCAGGATATCCTTAAAATAGCTCTTCAGATCTCCAGTCAGATAGATAGGTTAGTTCAGATCTCCAGTCAGATAGGTAGGTTAGTTCAGATCTCCAGTCAGATAGATAGGTTAGTTCAGATCTCCAGTCAGATAGATAGGTTAGTTCAGATCTCCAGGCAGATAGATAGACTATAGTTCAGATCTCTAGTCAGATAGATAGGTTAGTTCAGATCTCCAGTCAGATAGGTAGGTTAGTTCAGATCTCCAGTCAGATAGGTAGGTTAGTTCGGATGGATACTGGATAGGTTATTTGCTTATTTGCAAAAAAAGCGTAATTATTTGAAGAAACTTATTTAGACAATCCCTACTTATTAAATAAGTTAGATAAAACTCTAATACAAGTGACATATTTGACAGAAATACCATTTACTTAAAGGACTGTTCACATAATAATAAGGGACCCTCAATTTTAAGAGTTGTAAGGTATCCTTTTAATGCTTGGTCTGGGCCAAGGTTATAATGAAGGAAATTTTATTTCAGAGGTGTACGCATCTTTTGTACTGCAGTGTACTGTCTCTGGGCGGTAATGTAAACACAACACGGATGTCGAAGCATGACATGGGATCCATCTTTCACATAAACAATCAGTGAAATATTCATAGAAAACTATTATGTGAATTATCAAAATTATCAAAATTTAATGCTTTTAACCTCCTCGGATACTAAACGAACACTGATGCATCTATTCTTGTTTACATACTCCACCCAGAGAGAACTGGTTTCAAAATGTACGCAGATATACGTAACTGCAATTAACTTTCCTTGTATTATAACCTTGGTCTGGGCAATTATTGAGTTTTCCTAAACAATATTGGTTGATTTCAAGTAAAATTCTCTAGTAAAGTAACTTCCGGAATTAAGTAACTAATATATAACGTTTCAAGACAGGAAAATGACGATATTTTCCTCATTGTTACTCATATAAGGTTTTAACGATACCGTTGTGAATCGGACATATTACCTTACAAATGGGGGGTCACTTGAAATTATGTCTACAGTCCCTTTAGAAATAAACCCTATTAAAATAAGGAAGGGTATCAGTTGAACCCTAATCCATACTTTGCTGTTTAGGCCAGATCTGATGGATCTGATGCTTAGTTCAAGTTATATCCAGAATATCCCGAACCTCAGTAAGGATGTGAGAATATTTATCTGTAAATTGAGTTGGAATATAGCTCTTAGCAAGTCGGGGTACCTGGAGAAGTTCAGACTGTTCCTTTTGGCCGCTGAGATATTGACGGACGTATCCAGTTCTCAAGTTCAGCAGGCGGTTTATGTATCAGCCTTGTCAGCAGGTATATCTTTAGAACACAAACACACGGTGAATTGTGTCCAAGGAGTATTTATACTCCTTGAGTGTATCCAAATAGACATAACATACTCCTTGAGTGTGTCCAAATAAACATAAAAGTTTCTGAACAACAAGGTACCGTCAGGTCGTCTTCTAACAGGGACTGTAAGCGTAATTGCAAGAGACTTCTCATACAAAGATGGCAATGCTCGATTCATAACGGTACCCTTGAAACCTTTATCAGATCAAAAATGTGGAAGATATTTTCGTCTTTCTAGGTTTACAAGTTCTTAATTATGATAATTCGTATATGCTTTCCTACAAGAAAAATGCGCAAGTAACTTTTGTAGAGAAACGTCTCAGTTGAAAATAATTAAATTTTGCAAAATTATTAACAGTATATAATTCATATTTGATCAGACAAAGCTTTTAAGTAAATCGTTGAGAATCCAGCACTGCAATCTTTGAATTAAGGATCACTTAAAATTTTGCCTACAGCCTCTTTAAGACCGGGACGCGGGCGTAGCCTGTAATTGATTTACTTATATTTCAGTTGGTTTTATATGTATATTCCGTGTAAATGTGTCGGATCTTCCTTTATGTATATTTTCACCGCTCCTCCACTTCTCCCACTCAACAACTGTCCATATAAAATATAAATGATTTATAAAACAATAGAATTTCTATTTCTTGTGTAACATTGTGTAAACATTGTGATATGTTAAACACAATATCTTCCGAATATAATAAGGGATGTGAATCCCTCAAAATATTTACGAATGAAATAATGTTTTATCTATGTAAAATAAAGCGCTTTTTTCTTCTTTCCCAATTTGTTTTTCAAATTACACGGGCAACGCCGGGCACTTCAGTTAGTTAATGAGTAATGCTCTAAAACCGTACAACAGAGATGTAGATGTACGTTTACAGTGTACATAGCTCAAACTTTTTGATATGTAAAGGTGTTCTACATAACATTTTATATCAGTTGATATAAAATGTTATTTCAAAAATATATAAAAATAATAAAATAATTGTGATTACAGGTCTACGGGCTCTTGAGTGTGGTTATGAGGAGGTTAGAGAGGAACTATTTCAAACAATGAAATCTCTAACAGAGGTTTTTGATTTTTTACAATTTTATACAAAAGGAACTAATAACTATCCTCATACTATAATTTTCTGATTTTATATGTGGTAAGTGGTATCAATTAATATTTCAAACCATGGAGTTTGCTAGATTGTTAAAGTTTAAAGTATAAAAGGTTTACACTATTAGGTTGCAAAGATATAGAGATTAAAAAATCAGAGTTTTAATCGGGTGTTTAGGTTCTATGAGCGTTTTTGGTTATTAGATCTTTTGAAATTATGGTAATTTATATTTTATACAATTTCGAATTTTCCGAAGAATTATGGAAGCTTTTTGCCCTTATGATACTTTAATTTTTTTCCAGTTAAATCATTTATTTTTCATGAAAGTGGAATTAAGCGATAAATTTCTCTTTAAATCATCTTGTTGGAAACATGATTTTTACAGAAGGGTGTGAAGGGAGGATAATAAATATACAAACCCGAGTTAAATTATTGCCTAACCCGAAAAAAAATGTTGAATCATCAATGTGTAAGAACAAAACTATTTGCTATTATGTTTCCATACGGGGAAAAAATATTGCCCATCAGATTGCTTGAGATCTGTAGAATTTTAAAGTAAATATTATCCCTTATCGTCCAAATAGTTTTCAATTAAATGTTTTGGTATTTTTTCCGCTAAGTTGTCATTTTGATAGCAATTAAAAATATTCTTTGTTGAGTTAAACAATTGTCGACAGTATTTATCAATTTGTTATAAATTTATTTTATGCTTATTCAATCCTCTGTTCTAAATAAAATATAAAAGCGCAAAAATATTTAATTCTTCAACATGAGAAAGGAATTGAGTCTTTTCCACAAACTCTGATTTTCTAATCCCTATATCTTTGCCACCCAATGAAACTATGAATTCTGTTAAATCAAATAATCCAAGTTTGAAATATTAAAGGCATACACCATCAGGTTGCAAAAATTCTACGAGTGTTTTTGGGATATTAGATCTCATGACATTGTGGACAGTAAAATTTACCTGTATGGAGGGGGGGGCGAGCGCTGCGGCTAGGATGAGCTAGTGAGCCAAATGCCGCGGCTAGATCAGTCTGGGGCCGAGCGCTGCGGGCAGAACAGACTTGAAAAATTGCCGCTTGGTAAATTGCATATTTGGGAAGTTGCCACTTGGGAAAATACCCTTGGGAAGTTGCCACTTGGGAAAAATCCTTTGGGAACGAACCTAACATCTCATGTACTTCTAACAAATTTGAAAGCAAATTTATGATTCTACCATGACTTTAAACACAAGTAGATCTAACGTTTTGTATAAAATGTTTTCTTTAGTCTGAAGATCTTCTCCCTCTGATGAAAAGAGCAATCCTGGTTTTCCAGTTCAGGTTCAGTTTACTCACGCACTCCTATTCATCATTCAACCTGAGATCTGCGATCCTAGATCTCCAGGCTCTCAGAGAGTTTGAAATATTAGCAGCTGTTGGAGTTATGGTCGCTGAGGTACACTAACAACTAAGATCTGATATTTATTGTATAGTGAAGATGTGTTCTTTTTTATTGGATGTCATGAAGCCCTTCGTTTTTTACATGTTATGAAGCAAAATTCTTACTTTTAGAGATATAACGAAACTGAGTGTTTATTTTTAATAGTACGTTGTGAAACTGAGTTATTGCTTTTAAGCACGTGATGACGTACTTACTTTTCAAAGGAATTGAGTTTTTGACACAATTGCAAACCCAAATTTTCGAATCATTATATCTTTGCTCACTATTGGTAAAAATCTGTAATGTTTCAAACCTAAACTATTCGATTTAACATAATTCAGTTTGAAATATCTGAGGTCTACGACATTGGGTTGCAAAGTTATAGAGATTAGAAAATCAAAGTTTGTTGCAAGGCTCAATTCCTTCCTACATGATGAGGCTGAGTTAGAATTTAAAATGAGCCGTCTATTATTTTTTAAATTTAGAAGAATGAGAGGATGAGCGTAGACTGCTTACTTCCTTGCTTAGAGAACTTGGAAAACCCAGGTCTTCAGTTCTCAGCATTCTATCATTCTATTTTAGACTTCCTCTGATGCAAAATGAATTTTTTTTCAAAATAAAAAAATTATCATTTAATATTCAACAGATTAATACAATACTAATATTAATTCTAACAGTATTAACTATATTTTATAGCTCTAGATATATTATGAATGGTAACAATATAGTATTAAAATTAATCCATGTGGCCGCCTTTAGTGGCTAGGCACTTAAATGCCGTGTGACACACAGATCGATCACTTAAATATTTAAGGCAGCCAACTCTCTTCGAATATTTTGTTCTAGCTGGTTCAAGTTACTTGGATTTAAGAAAACCCAGTAAAAAGAATCGCTTAAGGATTGAGGTCTGGGAACCGAGAAAATCCCTTTACCTTATTTTTCATCAGAGGAGTTTCAAAACTTTAAACTTTATTTTAAACTTTCCTAATTGGACGACTTTAGATTCTATTCAAATTTGTTTTTAGTTACTTTGAGAACAAAGAATATCAAATGATTGAAAAATAAACATTTTCAACCGGGTTATTTCGAACTATGATTTCTTGCATCCAAATTGCATGGGTTCTATAAGAAAATATCATAATCCGACATGATCTAAATTAGTGCGTAGTTCTATTTTACTATATCTGATGTACAAGGATAAATATATAGGTTCTAAATAATCTTTTAATGAATACAGTAGACAGATACAAGTTTGTATCCGATTTTTTTTTCCAGGACGGCCCCGGATACGGATCCGTATTGTAGTTAAAGCACTAGGTCCCTGATAATCAGAGATTGTTTAGGAACTGGTGGCTTATCCATTCTAGAGCTGATGGAAATCAAACCTCAGCAGTGGCCACACATTGATGCAGTCTTTTCACGTATCAAAGACAGGTTTGTTGACTTAACATTGATGCAGTCTTTTCTCGTATCAAAGACAGGTTTGTTGACTTAACATTGATGCAGTCTTTTCTCGTATGAAAGACAGGTTTGTTGGCTTAACATTGATGCAGTCTTTTCTAGAATCAAAGACAGGTTTGTTGGCTTAACATTTTGTCTCGTATCAAAGACAGGTTTGTTGGAAATTAAAGGTACTTTAGGCGTAGTTTCGAAGTGACCCTCCATGGAAAGATGGCAATGTCCGATTCACAACGGTACAGATAAGACTTGGTCCTACTCCAATGCTCAGAAAAGCCTTCCTTGCCTTGTTCAAGACTGTTGCGATTATTAGTAAATAACTGTCCTGATTTGTCTCAGTAAGTCCCCTACTCAATCTCACTGACGCAAACCATTGCTTATAAAATGCGGTATTGAAATTAATTAAAAATTTCGTTTCAAATTCTTTGAACTGCACTTAAAAATACTTTGTCAAAGGTCTTAATGATTCGCTTTAAATGCAGTTAATTAGTTTCTGACCATATTTTAGAAAATTATTTTAATTTCTAATCATGAAAATAATATAAAATTTTTTTTGATGTTTTAGGTAAATGCTTAGTTTTAAGAATTTCCTCAACGTAGAATTTTAAAGGGGATGGTGGAGATGTCATGTTTGATGTAGGGTGGTCATTAGAGGTCATTAAAATTCAATTTGATTCTATTTTAGGAATTTTGATCACTAATTAGGCGTGCAGCCAAAAAAAATTGGAAGATTTGAACCAAAAATGAAGACAGGCCACATCAAACATGACATCTCCACCATCCCCAGTTAGTCAAATATTTTTCATTATTCATTTTTTAGCTTAACTTTTATAAAAACGATATTCCCATTATTCTAAAATATTCTTAGATGGTTGATACATTTTTGAAAAAGATTTAGTTTGCTGCAAATATTTTGAAATTGGAAGAATATAACTTTGTTAAAATTAGTAAACAGTCCCTTTCAGTAACGAAAAGTTCTTCAGGCTTGGATGAACATACTTTATGATATGATATATATATGTCAATTAAATATATCCAGATTTAAGGGAAGGTTTGTGGAGAATTTGTAAAAAATATCTTCCCTTGAAATACTTTATAATTGTGTGGGTAGAGTAAGAGGAGGAGGACAGAGTGATATTATATAATATTCCATAAATAACTTCTGTTTATATCTAGATAACTATTTTTTATCTGTAGGATTGTAGGACGGGAGAGGACTGCTCTAAGGATAAACTATTTGTAGGAAGGGAGAGTACTGCTCTAAGGATAAACTATTATTTATCTGTAGGATTGTAGGACGGGAGAGGAGTGCTTTAAGGATAAACTATTATCTATCTGTAGGATTGTAGGAAGGGAGAGTACTGCTCTAAGGATAAACTATTATTTATCTGTAGGATTGTAGGACGGGAGAGGACTGCTCTAAGAATAAACTATTATCTATCTGTAGGATTGTAGGACGGGAGAGGACTGCTCTAAGGATAAACTATTATTTATCTGTAGGATTGTAGGACGGGAGAGGACTGCTAAGGATAAACTATTATTTGTCTGTAGGATTGTAGGACGGGAGAGGACTCCTCTAAGGATAAACTATTATTTATCTGTAGGATTGTAGGACGGGAGAGGACTGCTCTAAGGATAAACTATTATTTATCTGTAGGATTAGAGGACTGCTAAGGATAAACTATTATTTGTCTGTAGGATTGTAGGACGGGAGAGGACTCCTCTAAGGATAAACTATTTTTTATCTGTAGGATTGTAGGACGGGAGAGGACTGCTCTAAGGATAAACTATTATTTATCTGTAGGATTGTAGGACGGGAGAAGACTGCTCTAAGTATTGTCTGGAACGGATGGGTCAAGCTCTCTATCTCACAAGTTTCTAAGGTTAATATAAACTTGGTTTCATTGTTTACAAATACTTCAACAAACTCTTGACAGAAAAAATCCTCATGCTCTTAAAAAATTGTTTATTTCTAAAAATAAGACACAGTTGTCAAATCTGACTCTCAAAGTTATATAATTTAACCCAGTTTACCCAAAATAACTGATTTAGATTTATAAATGGCCGCATAGAGATCCAATGTATGATCTTTCGTGGGATAAACTGTTTATCTTTATGAACAATATATATTTACTCATGATGCTCAACCTATTTTTAGCTCAAACAGAGGAAATGAATGAGCATCCCAGTATATTTTAGATATTTCCTCTATCAAAATTCTTCTCTTTTTTAAGCTTGTTTTATATAATCCGAAAACCTGGAGATTTCAAAAATATTTAATATTCATTTAATCTTCTCAATTTCTATGATATTTGGATCAAAGTGATGTTCTTTGATGAGTAAATTTACAAATTTCAGCTAAAACTTTTTTTTTGAATTTTGAAATAAAATTTTGTTGTAGGCTAATTTTTGAAATTTTGATCGTTTAATCTAAGATATCTTTTTTTCAGATATTTCTTAAAATTATTGAAAGTTGAGATTCTCTTAACAGTAAAACTAATTGGAAGCGTATAACTAGGAAAAATATGTAACTTCTTTTTCAATGATACATACAGAATATACCGTTCAGAACGGTTATCTCGACTGAAAGGAGTAAAAAAGTGTTTAAGTGGTGAAAGGAAAGTGGAATATTCTCTCTATCATCATACTTATACATAAAACAAAGTGAATTAAATTTGATAATTGGGGGGCATCGGGCCCCCGTCTCAAGTTTCATAAATATATTTTAAAATATTTAATTTTCTATATGTATGCTTGAGACAAATATTTGATTTGATTTGATTTGATTTGATTTGATTATCATTATCATTAAAATTGGTCTGAGTTTAGAGGAACTTACTCCCGGGACCCCATGCTTTTAGACAGTAACTAATATGGGATTTTTATAAACTATTGTAAACATACAGGGAGTCAAAAAAAAGGGTAAATAGCGAGATCTTTCATATAATAAAGCACTTTTGTTTTGGTAATCTCAATTTTTAAAAATATGTAAAAAAAATTTTGAAAAAAAAATTGATAGCCAATCTTTAAGAAAATACGCGAAACAATTTTTACTCAAAACACCTTAAACAGATAAAATCAGTAGTTTTGGAGAATATTTGAATGATGTTCTCTTGTTATCTCTAAGTTTTGAAAGTATTTCCAAAGTTGTATTTAAACCAGACCTAAAGTTTACTCCAGTTCCTCCAGTGTGCTTGAGTTGAATACAAAGTTTGTTTAACTAGGAGGGAAAGTCAATTTTATTCAAAGTTACTCTTCACTCAACGAATGCTAACGTACTGTTAAAAGTAGATCCTGGATGCCTCCTATAAAAAGTAGATTCTGGATCCGTCCAGTAAAATTTGGATCCTTGATCCGTCATGTAAAAAGTGCCACTGGATCCATCCAACAAAAAAAGAGGATCCGGATTCGTTCTTTTTATAAGCGGACCCTGGATCCGTGCTATAAAAACGGATCCTGGATTCGTCTTGTAAAAATCCTGATCCGGGATTCGTAATATTAATTAGAGGATCCGGATTCATCCTGCATAAAGCGGCTCCTGGATCCGTCCGTAAAATCCGAATCTTTCGAAAAAAACGGATCCTGGATTCCTCTCGATAAACGGAATCGGATCTGTCTTGTAAAAAGTGGATCCTGGATACGTTTTTTAAAAAGCGGCTTCAATCAAAAGAAAAAAGATTTTTATTTGTATTGTCTTAAAACTCATTGGCACTTTATGCACTTCTCCCATATATGAAAGTGACTTAGAAAGGTGTACTAAAAATAGAGACCGGGTCAAAGAGTTTAAGTCATAAATGAAGATTTTACAGACATTGGCTGAAACTTAGAACTCTGTGAACTATAAAGAAGTTTGAAAAATATGTCTAATTAGATGTTTTGTTTTAAGAAAAACCTAGTAAGATTTGTTTAGGCCTTGGAGCCAGACTCGGGGGTCCACTTGCAGGGGCGGATACAGGGGGGGGGCGGGGGGACATTCGCCCCCCCCTGAATTTGGAATTTTTTGTTCCTATTTTCAGAATAGCTGCTCAATAGCATGCTTAAGGGAAAGAAACCCTAGTGCAAAACAGGAAAAATATCTTCCCCTGAATTTGGAATTTTTTGTTCCTATTTTCAGAATAGCTTCTCAATAGCATGCTTAAGGGAAAGAAACCCCAGTGCAAAACAGGAAAAATATGTCTTAATAAACTAATGTGTGAAAAGTTAAAAATCTAGTTTTTTAGTCTTTAGTCATTAATTTTGACTCTTTTTGAGTCTTTTAAGTCAAAAAAAATTTTCGCCTGCGCCGCGATTTTTTGTTCCTAATTATGAATTTTTTTGTTCCTAAAATATCTTGCCCCCCTCACTTAAATCCTGTATCCGCCCATGTCCACTTTTTTGCTATCGTGAGATTCGAATCCAGAGAATATTTAAGTTCAAGTTTTAAACTTATGTCTGGAACGATAACAAAAATATCTTCTTTTATCTTTCGCAAAACAAAGTTTAAAGAAAAGCATAAAAGAAAAAACAGCTTAGATATAGAGAATTATCTTGCAGGTTGTTGTGTACAAGTGGGGGGATGTTCTCTCTCAACTACACAACAGTATAACTGACGAGGTGGAACATATTCATCCTCCTCTTCCCATCCCATCCCAGGCTCTTCATCTCAAGATTATTAGAGCTCTAGACTTCTAATTGGATTGATCTTCCCATCCCATCCCAGGCTCTTCATCTCAAGATTAATAGAGCTCTAGACTTCTAATTGGATTCATCTCTTTAAGTTTCTAGTTCCATAGTCTTAAGTAATCAAATAAAATATCAAGTAAAGTTTTGAAATTATTTGTGCAGTCTGAAAAATGTATAAGAAAAAGAACATTTTACAGTAATCAATAATAATACCAAATAAAACTCTGAAATTATTTGTGTAGTCTGAAAACTACATAAAAAACATACAGTTATTAATTATCAAATCATTTGAAACTATTTGTGCAGTCTCAAAAATTATAAGAAAAAAAACGTTTTTCAGTAATCAATTATCATATCATGTCAAGATTAGAAACTATTTGTCCAGTCTGAAAAATTATAAGAAAAAAAAAACGTTTTTCAGTAATCAATTATCATATCATGCCAAGATTTGAAATTATTTGTCCTGTCTGAAAAATTATAAGAAAAATAAACGTTTTTCATTGAAATTATTTGTGTAGTCTGAAAACTACATAAAAAACATACAGTTATTAATTATCAAATCATTTGAAACTATTTGTGCAGTCTGAAAAATTATAAGAAAAAAAACGTTTTTCAGTAATCAATAATCATATCATGCCAAGATTTGAAACTATTTGTGCAGTCCGAGAAATTATAAGAAAAATAAACGTTTTTCAGTAATCAATTATCAAATCAAGTAAACATTTGAAATTATTTGTCCAGTCTGAAAAATTATAAGAAAAGAAAAACGTTTTTCAGTAATCAGATATCATATCAAGTAAACATTTGAAATTATTTGTGCAGTCTGAAAAATTATAAGAAAAAGCTCATTATGCAGTAATCAATTATCATATGAAGAAAATTTTTTTAATTATTTGTGCAGTCTGAAAAACATATGATAAAATGTTCAGTGTACAGTACTCAATCAAATCAAGTAATGTTCATTGTGCAGTACTCAATCAAACCAGGGAGATGAGAATAGTACAATATTTAACCAAGGAAATGAAAATTGTACAATATTTAACCAATAGTACAGTATTAAACCAGGGAGATGATAATTGTACAATATTAAACCAGGGAGATGAGAATTGTACAGTATTTAACCAGGGAGATGAGAATTGTACAGTATTAAACCAGGGAGATGATAATTGTACAATATTTAACCAGGGAGATGAGAATTGTACAATATTGAACCAGGGAGATGAGAATTGTACAGTATTTAACCAGGGAGAGGAGAATTGTACAATATTAAACCAGGGAGATGATAATTGTTGCAGTATTTAACCAGGGAGATGAGAATTGTACAATATTTAACCAGGGAGATGAGAATTGTACAATATTGAACCAGGGAGATGATAATTGTACAATATTGAACCAGGGAGACGAGAATTGTACAATATTGAACAAGGGAGATGAGAATTGTACAATATTGAACCAGGGAGATGAGAATTGTACAATATTGAACCAGGGAGATGAGAATTGTACAATATTGAACCAGGGAGATGAGAATTGTACAATATTAGAACCAGGGAGATGAGAATTGTACAATATTGAACAAGGGAGATGAGAATTGTACAATATTGAACCAGGGAGATGAGAATTGTACAATATTGAACCTGGGAGATGACAAAAGTACATGTTTAACCAAGAGGGCGGTAAAAATAAAAATAAATCAAATTTTGGAGCAAATTATAAAGATTTGTAGGCATTCTAAAAAAGGTGGCAAATTTAAGTCTGGTGGGGCAATTTGAATAAGAATGTGTGAGAATAATATTAAAAATTCAATTGGGGGTATTTTTTAGGAAATGTGGCAAAAATATAAGAATCTGAGCTTATATTGAAAAATGTTAAATTTGAGTTTGCTTAAAGAGTTTAGGGCATAAATGAGTGTAGGTTAAAAAAAATATTACTGTGGGGGCCTATTTTTTTCTTCAAATTTTCGAGAAAAATGGTTATATTTGGAACTATATGGACCCCTGTTATAAGGACTTCTGCCCCCCCCCCTGCGCGCCGTAGATATTAAATGATTGAATTTCGTGATCTTCTAATTAACTATTAATAATCTGAATTCTAGGTTATTTTTATATAAAACTGAATTATTGAATACTTGTGGTCTCAACTCAGCTCGAGAATCTACCAGATCTTAAAGAATGTCCGTGAAAATTGAAAGAGTTTATTTGGCTGTAAAAATTTGGTTTGTAATTCGATAATGTTTTATATAAATGTCAAAATACCATTTCAACCTATATAGAATGTTTGTTTATGTCTTGTTCAATTCCCAGATTACCCTATAAGCTCCGTTATTCGAAGGATTCTTAATTTCTTATACAGGGTGTCCCAAAAAACATGGGAATTCAGTGACGAATTTGAATTCGTCACTGAATTCCCATGTTTTTTGGGACACCCTGTACGTCAATTCACAGTTCTTTAAGGGACACTATAGAGAAATAAATCTGGGGGGGGGGGAATTTTGGACTGTAAATTCAAAACATTTCGCTTCTTGGATACTAGAAAATATACACACAGTCCAATGAGTCCAAACCTTACAAGTACTCTACTTTATCTCTCCTTCAAACAAAATTAGAAGAAAACAGCAAATTATTTTTCTAATACTCGATCAGTTTCAGATTCGAAAAGTGTGATAGCTCTGGTTCTTCTAGGGGGGGGTACTGCCCCAGCTCGGCCCCCCCTCCCATCACTGTGCACGGCCTTGCAAGTTCGGGTGGGGGAAAATGGAATGATCCTCTTTGTTTGTTAGTTAGATTACTTAATAGTATGTAAATTGACGATTCTAAATGAAAGATCCTTCCCGGAAGACTGTTTGGGGGAGGTTCGGAAGCCCTCTGGGGACGCGCACTGTCTCAAATAGGTAAAATGAGGTTCGGAAGCTGTGTGGGGGAGGTTGCCTTCCCTTCCTCATTCAGGTCTGTCTATCTGCGAAAGTGTGTGAGTATCGGAGAACCGGTTTATTCAGCTGAGTAACGTCAGCCAGCCTGGTCCGTCCATATAAAATTCTATGAGTAGTTCTACACTGTCTGCTGCGGATACAGGATACAAACTATAGAAACAAAACAATAGTTGTTTTGATATTTGTTAATATTTTTTAAAGTTAATTACAAGCAGTTTTTTCAACAGGAGGAAGTGAATATTTTCTTTGGTTATTTTTACTAAAATTTTTGGGTTTATGCTAAAAGAGAAACTTCATTTGCGAGCCGAGAATTGGCGTTAATTCTATTATTAATTTATAACTTTTAAGAGTGATTAAATGACTTATTTCAGTATATTAAAATGACACAGGCACAGACAAAGGTTGTCACAAACACAGATGAAGGCTGTTCGGGTAAGTTGTTAAATAAAAATCTTAATTTAAAACCTTTTTTTTCATCCTTAAATTTTACACTTCTTATATTTTTTGGTGTTTGTTTAATATCCTATAGGCTGAATAACAAGTATTATTTTAAGTTAAATGTGATTGGGTTTTAACATTTTTATTGATGTCGGACTGTACTTAGATATTCTGCCGGAGATGAAAAAAAGTCATCCTACTTCACGATTCAATAGGGAGTCCAGTCTAAGCTCCTTGGGTCTGTATGTTCTTTGTTAAACCCATCCAAGGGGGGGTATATATTCACAAACCTGATAAACTAATCAATGGATGTATACCCACCACTCCTTAAAAACTTTTTTATTTTGTTCCTGATTATAGTTTTGTCCAAAATTGCGTCATCAATGTTAGCTTGGCAAGTTTTTTCTAGTGGGGGGGGGGGGGAGTACACAAATTTTAATTTTGGGTTCCTAAAGGTTTTTTCTTAAGCATAGTAGAAAAGTTATATTTTTTCTCAAGTTAATTGCATACCAACGCCTTCAAATTTTACTTTTTGAAAATTTAATTCTTAATTTTAAAAAAACATTTTAAACCATTGTACCTTTTAGAAAATAATATTATACATGTCTACAATAAACAATTGAGATTTCAGTCACGAAACCTCGAAAATAAAATTTTGCCCATTATTAAGAAATGTTTAAAAAACTAAAAGATTAAACTGATATAAATTGATGTGTTTTGTTGTATGTACTATTTATTTTTATATGTTGTTTATTGAAATGGTTTTAAAAATATGTCACAGTATTTAATGCTTTAAAAAGAAAGTTGTCCAATTTTTTTTTTTGTGTCACCCTTTAACTTGTTTATTTTGACACATTTTCTCCATGAATTCTGGTATTTTTTGCGAAGGAATAAATTCGATAATGCTTAAACCGACGGTTTTCATATGATTTTAATAAAACAGAAGAAACCTTTGAAAATAAAAGTTCTCAATGCATGCAGAAAGTACAAATTGAAAAAGGTTATATGTTTTCAAGAATGTTAAGCCTTATAGGAATAGACTAACTATTTATAATACTGTTATTTTAGTTCGCAGTGTTATAAAGTTTTTGGACAGAAATTTTTCTCTATATCGAGAAGGTTCTCGCCTTTTTAGATTAAAAAGGTGAGAACCTTCGAGATATTGAGAAAATTTAATTCCAAAAACTTAATAATAGCACGTCGTGCCAAAATGATAGTGTTATAGGTAATTTTATGAAACGTTTGTGTAGATCAAATAAGCTTTGAAACAAACCAGAAGTCGAAATATAAAGGTGATTTCAATATTTTGGAAATACTTTATTTTTTTTTGGAGAAAATCCGGGAACCATTCAAAACTTTATAGCACACTTGCTATAATGTACAGCTAATTTAACTTCATAGCACGATAATTACTTTATAGCACGTTCATTATGAAGTTCAAGATGAAGTGAGGAAGAATAATAAAGTACACAATAGTTTCATAAAATATTCTATTTGGACAGAAAATTTCTGTTCAAAAACTTGATAACACTGCGAACCAAAATAACAGTGTTGTAAATAGTTATAATGTTTAAAGACGACATAAATATGGAGTCTATAGATATATCTTTTTTCTAATTCCTCATATATTAAGTAGGGGGGTAATCAATCGTTTTTTAGTTTTGTCAGTTTTAAATTACTGTGTTTATCCATATTCTCCATATTCTTATTTTAAACCTTTTCATCCCTTGTAGTCGATTTCTGTTTCTTTGTCTCTCCCTCCTCCCCCCCCCCCGACCACCTAAAAAAAATTGCGTTCAGAACATTAAAAAAAACTCTTTATAATAAACGTAATTTCTGTTTTTATCCATCATTATAAATAATAACTTTTTTATAAATGTTAGATCTTAAGTTTTAGTGATTTTAATTTATTTTGCTAGATAACCCTTTTTTTTGTGTTAGTTAAAAATTTCATATTTGTTTTTAGTTTTAATCGTGATTATTTCAGTGTGCTTGGTTTATATGGAGTGTCTAAATAATGCTTAAAAACATAAAAATAATTAAATGTTCAAGACCCATCTATTTTTTATTAAACAATACGCCTTATCTTTTTATATTTAGAGCGAAACACAACTAGTAAACTGAATCCTTGCACTACTAGTATACTGACTCCATGTACCACTAGTATACTGACTTCATGTACTGCTTGTATACTGACTCCATGTACTACTAGTTTACTAACTTCATGTACTACTAGTATACTGACTCCATGTACTACTAGTACACTGACTCAATGTACTGCTAGTATACTGAATTCATGTACTACTAGTATACTGACTCCATGTACTGCTTGTATACTGACTTCATGTACTGCTTGTATACTGAATCCATGTACTACTAGTTTACTAACTTCATGTACTACTAGTATACTGACTCCATGTACTACTAGTATACTTACTTCATGTATTGCTTGTATACTGACTCCATGTTCTACTAGTATACTGACTTCATGTACTACTAGTATACTGACTTCATGTACTACTAGTATACTGACTCGATGTACTGCTAGTATACTGAATTCATGTACTACTAGTATACTGAATCCTTGTACTACTAGTATACTGAATCCTTGTACTACTTGTATACTGACTCCATGTACTACTAGTATACTGATTTCAAGTATTGCTTGTATAGTGTATACTGACTCCATGTACTGCTTGTATACTTGCTCCATTTACTACTAGTATACTGACTCCATGTAACACTAGAACACGGACTCCTGTACTACTAGCATACTGACTTCATGTACTACTAGAACACTGACTTCATGTACTGCTAGTATACTGACTCCATGTACTACTAGTATATTGACTCCAAGAAATACAAAAATACTGACTCCATGTACTACTAGAATACTGACTCCATTTACTACAAGTATACTGACTCCATGTACTACTAGAGTACTGACTCCATGTACTATTAGTTTACTTACTCCATGTACTACTAGAACACTGACTTCATGTACTGCTAGTATACTGACTCCATGTACTACTAGTATATTGACTCCAAGAAATACAAAAATACTGACTCCATGTACTACTAGAATACTGACTCCATTTACTACAAGTATACTGACTCCATGTACTGCTAGAATACTGACTCCATGTACTATTAGTTTACTTACTCCATGTACTGCTAGTATACCGACTCCGTGTTCTGATGGTTAACTGACTCAATGTACTACTAGAATACTGACTCCATGTACTGCTTGTAGTTGGCTGTTTCTCTGTCCGAGGAGGAGGAGGAGGATCTGGAGGAAGCAACCACGTTATGGTTCATCAGGGAGGATACATCAATATCATCTTAAAGGAACTGTTTGCGTAATATGAAATTAAACGAATTAGAACTTATTTTTTTTAACAATTTTATTGTATCTATTTAAGTATGTTTCTTGGGAAAAGTCAAAGTGGGAGCAATTGTATCACTATAGCGATTTATACATTATGTTCTTCTATACCCAATTGGAATGCAGAAAATCCTGAAAAAAATGAAAGAATTCATCGAAAAAAGGATTAAATGTTCGTAAATACTAAGTTGATAAAAATGTTGAATATCCTACACACACAAAATGATAGATGATCAGATTATACTAGTTTATTCTGCATCTTATATAATCTTAAACCTGATTTTACAAGAGAAAAAATCTTGATTAAAATAAGTGAAACTCTATCCCCTACCCTTAAGAGAAATCGTGAAGGCTTCTCTCTGATTCAACAGAGACCCTATTCTTTTTATATAAAAGTAATAAAAATATATTGGTCTCGATAAATATGCTGCATTTGCATTGATAAAAATATTTGACCATATTTGTTTATATTGTTCATGAAAAGAAAAGAAAATTCCATAATTCTATTTGTACAGTGTACATATTTTATTTAAAAATCACTCCCCCTTTATGTTCAAATTTGTTTTCACAATGTGTAATGTGTATGTAGTTTCAAGGGTTTATTAACCCTTCAATTAAGGTTTTTTGAGGGAATAGATGATAATGTGTTTTTGAGGGAATAGATGATAATGTGTTTTTGAGGG